TTTATATAGCTTGCAATAGAATTTTTCTTGTTTGCTATTAGGTGCATATATTACTATCATCAAAATATCTCTCTCTGTCTCTCTCTCTCTCTCTTTGCTTTACTATTATTTCTACCATTTTCTCCCTTCTTCATCTGGGTAACCATGTTTCGAATTTAGTGTTTCCTTCACATATAAAGCTACCCCTCTTTTCTTTTGTTCTTCTGCCGAATAGTACAGTTTGCCAATCTTTGGATAGATCAGATATTTGTAATGTTGTCTTTTAATGTGCGTTTCTTGGAGACAAATTATGTCCGTTTTTGTTTTTTGCAGTCGTGAAAAAACATAATTCCTTTTTGGGTTTTTTGTGTGTGTGTGTGTGTGTGTGTGTTCAGGCCATTGATATTCACTGAGAAGATGAGAAGACTCCAATTTTGAGTAACCCAGGTGTTCTTGGACTGCAACTCCCAGAAGCCCTGGCCAGCACAGCTGGTGGTGAAGACTTCTGGGAATTGCAGTCCAAGAACACCTAGATTACCCAAGGCTGGAAACCACTGTCTTCCTATCACTGGGCAAGCAACCAAGCACCTTCGTTTTAATGCAGCAGGGCTGTAGAAAACCTTTATTCTTGTTTACCGCAGGACGCTCTGCTCAGAACCGCTCCTTATTTTTATTGAAACTCCCAGAATTCCCTCAGCCAGCATGACCAGAGGCAGCCCCACTGTGGAATTCTGGGGGTTGTAGTCCAAAAGAAAAGAAACTTCCCAAGTCCTAAACACAGCCAATGGGGAGGAAAGAAAGGTACCACGGTCCCACAATATCTGGAGGGCTAGAAATGGTCTTCCCTGCATTGAGATGGATGAATCGGTCCCCAGATTAAATGAACCAATAATCTACCCTGGAACTACATTTCTTTCTTAATCCTGTACATACAGATCTGTTGGCATAATCTCAGAGTGTTCTTGTGCTATATTTCCATAACTAATTATAATTTCTTAGTAGGGCCTATGGCTAGTGAAAACAGATCCAAGGGCCATGTCTAGGCAAGTTCTCATGATATTACTCCATTATAGTTGGTGTTTTTTT